GTCATGATCTCATGGTTCATGGGTCGAGCCCCGCGTCGGGCTCTGTGCTGACAGCTCAGAGCCTGGAGTCAGCTTTGTGGATTCTGTCTCCCTCTTTCTCTGTCCCTGCACAGCTCATTCTCTCTCTCTCTCTCTCCCAAAAATAAATAAAACATTAAAAAAACCTTTAAAGAAATAAGAAAGTAATACAGTCCTAAAGACCAATCTAATCTTGAAAGTTTCACGAGATTTCTAACAACATAATTTTGGTAGTTTCAGGGGCTCCATAGAAATAAATTAATATATTTGAGATATTCTACATTACAAGGTTTCCAAAATTGTGCTTTACTTTTCAAATTCTTCTCAACATGATAAAGACAGATTAAAACTTGGGGATAAGCACCCTGATGCCCTGTAGTCCTCTAGCCCAATGACCCTCTTGCACCCACCCCAACCACTTCTTTATTTTTAACCTTATTTTTTTTTAGCTTTACTGAAATATAATTGACAACAAATATTATATATATTTAAGATATACAATGTGATGTTTTCATATACATTCTGAAATGGTCACCACAATGAAACATATTAATATATCCATCACTTCACGTATCACAAGTTACCATCGTTTTTCTTCCTTTCTTTTGGAGTTGAGAATGCTTAAGATCTACTCTCTTAGCAGATTTCAAGGATATAATACAGTATTGCTAAGCATAGTCACCATGCTGTACATTAGATCTCCAGAACTCACTCATCTAACATAACTGAAAGATTATGTACCCTTTGACCAACATCTCCCCATTTCTCCTTCCCTTTTGCTCCTGGCAGCCACCATTCTACACTCCGCTTCTGCGTTTAACTATTTTAGATTCCATGTAAATGATACTATGCAGCATTTGTCCTTCTGTGTTTGGCTTATTTTATTTAGCATAATAAACTGAATTCATTGGTGTTGTCTCAAGTGGCAGAATAACATTCTTTTTAAAAGCTGTTTAATATTCTCCATTTGCTTTATCCATTAATCCATTGACAGACACTTAGATCATTTCCATTTTGTGGTTATTGTGAATAATGCTACCATGAATTTGGCATTGCAGATATTTCATCAAGACGACATTTTATTTCCTTTGGATATTTACCTAGAAGTGAGATTGCTGGATCATTTGGTAATTCTATCTTTAATTTTTGGGGAACCTCTACACTGTATTCTTTAAAAAAAATTTAATGTTTATTTTTGAGACAGAGAGACAGACAGAGAGACAGGGAGAGGGAGAGAATGAGAGGGGGAGGGGCAGAGAGAGAGGAAGACAGAATCTGAAGCAGGCTCCAGGCTTTGAGTTGTCACCACAGAGCTGGATGCAGGGCTCAAACTCAAGAACTGCATATCATGACCTGAGCTGAAGTCAGACACTTAACTGCCTGGGCCATCCAGGAGCCCCTACACTGTTTTCTATAAAGGTTGTAGCAATTTATATACCCACCAACAATGTAAATGGTTAAAGAAACTGTCCCTTCCCTATTGTATGTTCTTGGTACTCTTGTCAAAAATAAGTTGATTGGAAATTTATTTGTGAGTTCTCTACTTTGTTCTATAGGTCTAAATGACAGTTTTTATGCCAGTACCATTCTCCTTTGATTACTGTAGCTTTGTGATGTATTTTAAAATCAGGAAGTATGATGCGTTCAGCTTTATTTTTCTTGCTCAACATTACATTAGCTATTTGGGATCCTTAATGGTTCTGTATGCATTTTAACATTATTTTTGTATTTATGTAAAGAATGTCATTGACATTTTGGTAGGGATTTCACTAAATCTGTAGATTGAGAAAATATGGATATTTTAACAATATTAATTCTTCTAATCCATGAACATGGGATGTCTTTCCATTTACCTGTCTTCTCTAATTTCCTTCAACAATGTGTTATAATTTTTAATGTAGAAGTCTTTTACTTTTTTGGTTAAGTTTATTTCTAAATATTTTATTTTTATTTCTAAATATTGTATTCTTTTGTTTTTGAGTGGGATTGTTTTCTTAATTTCATCTTCAGAAAGTTCATTGTGAATATACAGAGATGTCACAGGTTTTTGTATGCTGATTTTATATCACATCACTTTACTTAATTTGTCCATTAGTTCTAACTTGGGATTGATATTTTAGAGTGGGTTATTACAATAAATTTTCTTTTTAGTTTTAAGCTGTTTTCTTGAGGTAGTGAATTTTCATGCATATGCATTCTTTGTATTATAATGCATATTTATGGTTATATATTATCTTAAGCATATGAATTTCATATATATACACATGCTGTCTTGTACTTATAATCTCTAACATAAAGCAAATGAAATCCAAAAACAAACTTTCCAAAAGTTCTGAATTTTAACAATTTGCTTTTCAAAAAATTTAAAACCTCTTTACAGTGGGAAATTTCAACTCCATTGGTGAGGTACTTGTGAGATCTCAGAATTCATTTCAATTGAAATTCAACTTTTTTCTGTTTTCTTTTCAATTAACACAGTCCAATCATGGACTAAACTTCAGGTTTGGTCCAAGGGTGCCCTTCCTGAGGAACAAGACATGTATGAGAAGGGCAACTGAGCACTGCTGCTGCTCTACCAGAGGACTGCAGTTCTCTGACAACTAATCATCCTTCCTTTCAGTTCAAAAGACTAACCAAAAGAGTTTTTAAAAGACACTATAAATAGAAGGCCTTTCTCTTTTAAATTGAAAAAGTCAGTTTTTTTTAGTCTAATGAAGAATCCTACTATGATAAATTTCATGGACTTACTCTATATAGATATTTTGGAAGTAGATACCTAGGATAAATAAATTCACCTAAAGACTATATAAGTGGTTATACACAAAAGAGCATTTAAGGTTAGTTTGATTTGTTGTCAATATAGGTCTCATATTGTATGTATTTTTATGTCAAAAACATAAAAATAATTACCCTTTTAAAAAAAATACTCTTTATAAATTATGGAAATCATCGTATGATGTTTACTAAAAAGTCTTTGTTCTAAACAATTCTAATCTTTTACCATATCGAAACTTGGTAAAATTAAAAAAGTACAGTAGTTGGGGCTCCTGGGTGGCTCAGTCGGTTAGGTGTCTGACTTCGGCTCAGGTCATGATCTGGTGGTCTGTGAGTTCTAGCCCTGCATCCAGCTCTGAGCTGACAGCTCAGAGCCTGGAGCCTGTTTCAGATTCTGTGTCTCCCTCTCTCTCTGACCCTCCCTCATCATGCTCTGTCTCTGTCTCAAAGATAAATAAACGTTAAAAATTAAAAAAAAAAAAGAGTACAGTCAGTGGAAATCTTTGGTATAGAGAGTTATACTGGAAATTATTTTAAAAATAGAAAATCCAACTCATTGTTTGACTATAAAAAAAATGCTTATGAGGAAGAAGTTGGTAACTATCACCTAAAGGATACAAGCTTTTAAAAGAAACACTCAAATTCTAATATTGTTCATCTTCAGGGCACATTTCTGGCTTCTGTAATGTTTGAACATCATACTCCAGACACACTGAGCTTTGCTCAGTAATTATCTGAACATGACCTTCGTTCTGATGACAGGCTTGCCTTTCCTCACCTTCTTCACCAAAGGGACCTTTACTCAGTGTTCAGGACCCAATTAAAATAGCATGTCTTCTGTAAAACTTCACTTGCCAAAAAATTAATGGTACTTATTACATTGTATGGAAGTAACCTGTTAGCAAACAAAGCTCTACTGTTTATTTATGTATGCATTTTTTCCAGTAAATTGAAGCTGCTCACAAATATTTCCTGAACTGAAATATTTGTCGATTTTTCCTGTATCTAATCTTCCCATGACAACTCTTTATAAACACTCCTACTGAAATTATAGTCAGAGAATTTACCTTCAAAAGAATTATAATCAATATAGTAATTAAATAGCAATAGTACCCTGGGCGGAAGCCAGGGAGAACCTGATTTATGCAATTAATTCATCTTGAAACTGTTGTGTTGTTCTTTTTACAAATGATCATTGAACACCTGATAAATATAAGATGCTGTGATAGACAAAAAGATAGTGAGATAATAGCGAGAAATTAGAAACATATTTAGCTCTTAAGTATTTTATAAATCTTATAAGTGAACCTCAAAGACTTGAGGATATCCACATTAAAGGGTCATTGGTGAGAACAAAATGAAGTGTGCATGAAAGAAATACGAAAATACTAAAGACCCATAAATGTATTCAGTGTTATGATTTGGATATGTGGAAATGGAGTAAAAGAGGATCTTTAGTAGAAAATAAGGTAGAAGCATGTTGTGTAGTATGGTCTTGGTGATATAATCCTTGAAAGGCCATGGTAGAAAAGGAAACATAGTAAGATGAGAAAAAAGACCTGCACATTTTCTTCAGTAAGTATAATTAATGGAGAATATTGGATGGATGGGAATAAGAATGTAAAGTGACTCTCCATTCTTTTATTAGCCAAGAACAATATATTCCTAGGCACAAAATAAAAAACACAAGTCAATCTTTAATGTGAAATATTATCAACAGGATGGTGAAGAGACTATCTTCTTCATTAAACATGAGGATACAGATTAGTGATCCAAGAAAAATATTGATTAAACTATTTGAATACTGACTTTCTAAGTAACTATAACCTTTTACAACTGGAATGTAGAAATTTAAAAAGAAAATTAGAGAAACAAATAATAGCAATATAAATGATATGCACTGCCACAAAAGATAAAAAAAATCCCCCAGTTAAACATATAACAAATGTTAAGTTGTTGGAAATGGCTCCCTATTTAGGAAAAATTATAAAAATCAATGATCAATGTTAAATAATTTGTCTTTATACCCATGTCCATAAAAAATTAAAATTTACAATTCACATTTAATGCCAGTTTTGCTGTTTCTAAGCCATTCCATTTTAAACAAAATATGAACAGTTGCTAAATAATCTTTGTATACCTATGAATTTTTTATTTTTCTTAACTGTGAAATGCTGTACCATTATTAAAGTAAAAAATATACTTACTCAAATGAGGATTAACAGGAGCTACAAGAAAAGCAAAAAACTAATGTTAGCATGGCTTGAATGTCTTTTATAAATAAAGGTCTAATCAGTGTCTCATAGTTCCTTATCAAAACTTAATGATCTCCCCCACTGTGACCATGGAGAATTGTGTCTGCAATCCATTTTGTTCTAGAGGATTGAATAGAATCTACTTTGGAGCTCAGCAATAACAGTCTCAAAGTACCCAAAAGATCAATACTAAATAGCATGTGGGATTTGTTCATTTTTCCAAGGAATGGAGTTGCTGATCTTTTAGATCTTAACCAGTGCAAAAATCCCCAGAAATCAAAACTCAGGCTGACAGTAGGCCAACCTATAATCTAGATGGTTTAACAATGAAAGCAATTATCCAACAAAGATTACATTTCAGGTTGTTTTTTTTTGGTTTTTTTTTTTTTTTTTTTTTTTTGCAGTTATCTACTTCTGGTGAAAATAACATGGTATATATGAAAATAAGAGATTCCTTATATCATGTTATTACACACACCCTAAAACAAACTGCTGTACCAGTGTTGTTTTGTCTAATCACACACACACACACACACACACACACACACATACACACACACACACACACACACACACACACACACGATTTTCAAATAAAAAGCAATACATTTGCATTTTTGTGCACCAGAAGACCTATTTATTTCAAAAAACTAATTGTGCTTACCATAGAAGTGACAATTGATGTCTACCTGAAGAGGAATGAGTACTTTACATTTTACTGAAACAACAAAAATATATCTAATCCAGCAGTTAAAATGTTATCTGTGTAAAATCATTAGCCATTTATCACTTCGAGAACAAATTTCATTCTGGATAAAGTAAAACATTACCGTAGTCTACCAGGATTACAAGAGGGAGTTACTCTAACTTGCAAAATTTGTCTGTTGTTAATTCCTAGTGTTTGCCATTAACCACTTTTGTTAAACTTGGACATTACAGGTAAAGTATGATAGTCAAAAATGCACACACATACACAAAGTGTGTTCATGATAATTGTTACATGAGTACACTGACATCAGTTTTAACAAAGTGAGTTAGTTTCTCAAGTATTTTTACTATTTCTTACAGAAGACAGATTATTTCTATTAACTTTATTTTTCTCATTGTTTTCCCCATTGCAAATACGAAATACACAATATAGAGAAGGGATTATATATCTACTAGTTCCACTGAAGTGAAGAAAAATAATTCTTTTTCTTGCAAGATATCAATATATTATCTTTCAAAAATTAATTAGTAAAAATTAAAATTATTTCATAATTAATATGAAAGTTTAATTTTTCTATGTATTATCTCACAAAGAAGTAAATATCTTTGAATTATAATTTAGTTCTCAAAACTATGTCACATCTACAGTTAACCTATGACCAGACTGAGTTTTAATTGAGTCTTCTGCTACAATATTATTAGTCACCAAATTTACTGTAAGTAGCAGATTTAACCTTGTGAAAATTTGCTATTCTAAATTCTAAATATTGCAGTCAGTCCATTTTGCTTCTCATTTCAATTGAACTTTCATGTGTGATTTTTTATAAATGTCTAGATACCATTTAAGTAAACTTTACCCAAATCTATATTATATAAAAGAAATTTTAATTAAAATGTTTAAGATTTTAATAAGTATGCCTAAGAATGTAAAAATAATTAAAGTTGAAACTACAATAATATCTATTCTCCAGATTTATTTTCCATTTTAGTCTGTTGCCTTAGAGTTTTCAATAAAACTACTGAGATTTTAAAGACGTTTTTTCTCTATATCTCTTTAAGGAAAGTCATATAATTTCTAAATATAGCAAAGCAACATGGATCCTCTGTCATGAAAGGGTGAACTAACCCCAGTTCTATTCAGAATTTGTCATTTCATAGTTGTTTAACTCTGTGGTTGTTTAACTCTGTTTAACTGAAACTTTCTGGGTCCTAATATCTTCATTTTTTACATGAATGGATATTAATGCATTGTTTCTAATTAAGTAGTCTATAGTTTTATAACTTAGGGACAGGGAACATAAAATTAGATAAAAGGAGATAATAATTCATAATTTATAAGACATATAAAATTAAAATTTTAGAAAAAATATATTGAGATGCTATCTAATTGTGTGTCCAATGGGATCATGGAGGTTATTACAGAATAACAATTGTTATAGCCACTAAAATTTGCTTATTTTTAATTTATTTTGAGAGAGAGTGAGAGAGGGAGGATGCATGAATGGAAGAGGGACAGAGACAGAGAGAGAGAGAGAGAGAGAGAGAGAGAGAGAGAGAGAGAGAGAGAATTACAAGCAGGCTCTGTGCTGACAGCGAGCCTGACACGGGGCTGCATCTCACGAACTGCAACACCATGATATTATTGTTATTATTATCCTGTTAATATTCTATGTTATATTGTATATCTTTTTCAGTGAAAACTGAATATATCTAATTGATGAAAAAGAGTGAAGAAAAGTTATTTCATGTGAAAAGCAATTCTAATGAGTTTTTTTTAAGTTAATTTCTTTTGAGAGAAAGAGAGAGACAGTGAGAGAGTGCTCACACATGTGCAAGCAGTGGAGGGGCCGACAGAGAGGGAGAGATAGAATCCCAAGCAGGCTCCATGCTGTCAGCACAGAGCCCAACACAGTGCTGGATCTCACCAACTGGGAGACCATCACCTGAGCTGAAATCAAGAATTGGATGCTTAACTGACTGAGCCACCCAGGTGCCCCAAATCCAATGAGTTTTTTTGTAATAATTTCACTGTATTTTTTACTTTTGATAGTATTCACTGTTTCCCTCTTAGGTAGGAAAAAATCTGCCTAATGCTAAACTGAATGGAAAACTTCAACCACAAAAAACTACATTCTATTAGTTTTTAATTCAAGCCCTGGTAATCAATGATAAAAAGAATAATATTTCACTAAAGTAATAAAATAAATATGAAATATGAATCATTCAACCCTGAAAAACATTGACAGTTCTAGAGGTAGCCACTGAATATTATAAATTTCAACTGAAAAATTCACATAAACTTCAGTCAATAAAATATTAATCTGTTTCACCAACATACACACCAAAACACTCACATACATTTAGCTATTTTTAACATTATCAATCTAAAAGAAAAAATGACCAAAAAAATAACCTAGGATGTACTTCAATAGATGAAAGGATCAACAGACTGCAATATGGCTGTACAATGGGATATTAAGCAATAAAAAGAAAAGCACTATCGAGCCTCAGACGTGGAAAAACCTTTTAAGGCATATTGCTAAATGAAATAAGTTAGTTTGAAAAAGCTATATGCTGCATTATTCCAAGTATGCAACACTCTAGAAAAAGCAAAACTACGGACAATAAAAAGATCACTGGTTGTCAGGATTGGAGGGCGTGGGTGGGGATGGATAAACAAGGGGAGCACAGGGGACCCACAGGGCAGTGAACCTCTTCTGTATCATACTGTGATGATGAATAAATAATATTATCTACTTATCACAATTAATGTAATTGTCCAACACAAATAATTTTAAACCCTAATGCAAACTATTTGTCACTTTAACAATACGTCTATATTCTTTAATCAATTGTACAAAGTGTACCATGCTAAAGAAAGATGTTAATAATAGGGGAAACTGTGTTGGGGGAAAAGGACATACATGGAAGCTCTCTATACTGCCTGTTCAATTGCTTGTGAATCTAGAAATTCTCTAAAAAATCAAGTCCATCAATTAAAAACCAAGCATTGGTAATATTTGCTAATTTCTTAATGACAAATTTTAAAGCCATTAAGAATTTGAAAAAATATGCAAAATTATTGCATCATAACTTATGGGATAGAAAATAAAAGGACAGTGTTGGCATTATCACAGAGATTCAATGTTAACTAAAATATTATTCAACATCTCTACATTTAAAACAAATATTACAATACATGATGATTTCGTTTTCTGTTTTCTCTTTTTGTCGCTTGGCTGATGACCCAGAAGGTCAATATGCTAAATTTTAGTTTATGTCCAAATTTAGTAGATAGTTGCATTGTACATATTCCAGACACTTTAATATGCAAAAAAATACTTATAAGGTACTACTTACCACTATATTTGATGACACGGATTGTTGAATCTCCTTCACCAAATTTGGTGAGAGGTGTTAGTCGGACTTCATAAGCCTCTGGTTTAATTAGCTCAGTCAAGTTATATGTAATTAGTTCTCCCTTTTGAATATTTCCATTTATTTTAATCTCCTGTTCCCACCAACGCTGCTGTCCAGCCTGAAATCAAAGGAATTAGGTAATAATGTTCCCAATATTTTCTTCAGAGATTTTTACTATGTTCAAGAAAGCTTTCTAAAATTTTATTAAATAAAAAAGTGTATTATATTGTACCTTTATATTTACATTATATTGTACATTATATTATATTCAAGTTTCTAGAATAAGCAACAAATTTGGTAGATATTTCCACACAGATGTTTGCAGATAATTACCAAATTATCACAGAATACTTTGGCTGATTAAACAGATTTAATATGCCATCTTATTAAGAGTCAGAAGATAAAACAATAGTGTCTATTGCTGTCTCAATCTGAAGCTTTAGAGAGATACAAGTTTAACTACTTTTTTTTCTTTATTAAAGTTTTATTTAAATTCCAGTTTTAGTTAACATACAGTGTAATATTAGTTTCAGGTGTACAATATAGTGATTCAACTCTTCCATACATCACCCAGTGCTCATCACATGTGCCCTCCTTAACCCCCAGCACCCACTTCACCCTTCCCCCTACCCACCTCCCCCATGGTAACCATCAGTTTCTTCTCAAGAGTCTGTTTCATGGTTTGCCTCTCTTTTTTCCCTTTTGCTTGTTTGTTTTGACTCTTAAATCCTACATATGAGTGAAATCATACGGTATTTGTCTTTCTCTGACTCATTTCACTTAGCATAATATTCTCTAGCTCCATGTATGTCACTGCAAATGGCAAGATTTCATTCTTTTTATGGCTGAGTAATATCTCATTGAGTATATACACCAAATCTTCCCAACATCAACTGATCTTCTTTGACAAACAAGCAAAGACAATGCATGTGGAGCAAAAACAACCTTTTCAGCAAACGGCGATGCAATGTTGGGTATCCATATGCAAAATACTGAATCTAAATACCAACTTTATACTTTTCATGATATTTAACTAAAAATGTATCACATACATGTAAAACATAAAACTACAAAGCTACTAGAAGGTAAAATAGGAGAAAATCTAAATGACCATGGGTTTGGCAACAACTTCTTAGATATAATACCAAAAGTACAATCTAGGAAAGAAATAACTAATAAGCTGGACTTCTTTGAATTAGAAATTTCTACCCTACAGAAGATATTACCAAGAGTATTGAAAGACAAGAACAGACTAGGAGAATATATTTGCAAAAGGCACATCCAAATATATAAAGATCTCTCAAAATTCAACAATAAGAAAACAAATAACCCAATTAAAAAATGGTCCATGGATCTTAACAGAAAAGATGTTCCACACTGTATGTTATCATAGAAATGCAAACCAAAACAATGAGATGCCTCTGCAAACCTATCAAAAGAGTCAAATTCCAGAACACTGACAACAGCAAATATTGGTGAGGCTGTGGATCAAAAGTAACTCTTATTCGTTGCTGGTGGGAATGCAAAATGATATAACCAATTTGGAGAATAGTTTTGGTTTGTCTGTCTGTTTGTTTGTTTTATTTACAAAACTAAACATACCCTTACCATATAATCAAGCAATTATGTCCCTTGGTATTTACTCAAAGGGGCTGAAAATATGTCTGCACAAAACTCTTTCTATGGATGTCTATAGCAGTTTTATTCACAATGGGCAAAACTTGGAAGATACCAAGATGTCCTTTAGTAGATGAAAGGACAAATACACTGTGCTACAACCAGACAATGGATATTACCAGTGCCAAAAAGAAATGAGCAATTAAGACATGAAAATACATAGAGGAAACTTAAATGCATACACTAAATGGAAGAAACCAATCTGAAAAGGCTACATACTGAGTGATTCCAACTGTATGACACTCTGGAAAAGGTAAAATTATGGAGACAGTAAAAAGATCAGTGGTTGCCAGGAGTTCGGGGAAGGAAGAGATACATAAGCTGAGCACAGAAAATTTGGCAGGGGGGGCGGGCAGTGAAACTACTCTGCTTGATGATATAATGGTGGATACATGTAATTATAAACCCACAAAATGTGAACCCCAATGTAAATTATGGACTTTGGCTGATAACAGTGGATCCGTGTAAGTTAATCAATTGTAACAAATGTACCACTCTGTTGAGGGATGTTGTTACCGGTGGAGGCGACGCCTGTCCTGGGGCAGGGGGTATATGGAGGAGAATCATTGAATCTTCTGCTCAGTATTACAATGAACTTAAAACTACTCTAAAAGAATAAAGTCTTTAAAAAAAATCTGTTGTGTCACTTCATAATTTTCTTTTCTTTGCATACATTTTCAGTTTTTTAAATTCATATAAGTAGCGTAAATATAGTTACCTTATAAACATGTACCTGATATTTTTATATCTGAAGTCTATAGTATCCTTGTTCTTGGCACTTTTCTCTTTGTATTACCTTGCTTATTTTTAACTGTATGTTGACCATGTGACTAAAAACACTATTTATGGGGGTTCTTTGCAGTCTAAAATACAGATATATTCCTTTAGAGATATGCCTTTGTTTCTGACACAATCCTATGCACATCAACAGTATGGTTCACTTTTATTTTCACAGATTAAAGTGGAGGTGATCCCTTGCTTTGGGAAGACCTTGTGTTTTGAATCCTGCTTGCTTCACCATGCCAAGTGATAAGATTCAAAGTTCAAGTTTGTCTGGCTTGGTGAGCAGCTGAAGGCAAAAGCAATTTGAGTGGGACATTCCAATTAAAATACTTTGATTTTCCATTTTCCCTTACATTTGTACCTAGTAATATATATACACACATATACATATATAATTAAATGTACATATAGATATTTTGCATATATTTATTTATATATTTGCTTGTTTTCTGAGTGTGGGTTAGTTTTAATTATATAGCCTAATCTGCTATGTTTCTGGAAATGTAAATCTCAAATATGCCATTATAGCAGGATAGAAAAATGACAAATAAAATTATGGAATAAAACAGAAAGCTTTTATATATATACTTGTGGGGATTTTCACATAGAAGACAGAAAAAGATATATCATCAAATTGGTATGTATATGGAAAAAACATGAATTTGATGTCTACCTCACATCATATATGGAAAAAGTCTCTGGAAATCAAATAAGACTTAAATTTAAAAGGCAAAAGTTTAACCATTTAGAAAAAAATACAGAAGAATGTCATTATGACTTCAAGTAAGACATTCCTTTCTGAAACAGAATAGAAAAGCACAATTAGTAAAGGAAAATACTGATAAATTAGGCAAACTTAAATTTGAAGTTAATATTAAATTTAAAATTTTGATATACAAAGTTCTTCTCATCAATGCTCCCCATTAAGCAGCCAAAATAAAGGCAAAGGTTTGAAGAAAATATTTAGAATAGTACAGCTAACAGTCTTCTAACTTAAGAGAAATAATTCAATAGCAAAATCAGACTGATAGGAACAGGTATTTCATAGATATGGAAACCTGAATAACTAAAGAAAAGGCTCAGTCTCATCATGAATCAAGAAAATGGAAATTAAAATCATAATACTATTTCCCACCATCAGATAAACAAAAACTTATAACAATATTAAAGTTTGATGTAGATATAAAGCAATGAGAATTTCCTGTCAAGAACCAGCAGGGTGGGAGCAGTAGAGGGATGGGCAAGAATTTACTCCACTTAATAAGCTAAGACATTGGGGGCACCTGGGTGGCTCAGTCAATTAAGCCTCTGACTCTTGATCTCGGCTCAGGTCATGATCTCAAGATCCAGCTCTGTGCTGACAGTATAGAGCCTGCTTGGGACTTTCTCTTTCCCTCTCTCTCTGCGCTCCTCTGCTATCTTTCTCTCTCTCTCAAAATGAATAAATCAACTTAAAAAACAAACAAACAAACAAACAAACCAAGAAGTTAGCCGTCAACAGTATTACAGATACTAGCAGAAGACTAGAGACAACCAGGTCAATGAAAAGGACTCAGAATACAGCATGAATGTTACATTCAGATCAGTTCCCCTTGTCTCCTAAGCCCCACAGTGGTGACGGTGACGCAGAAGTGGCCAGGTTGAAGTGCACATGCCTACGGTTTGCATCACATCTGGGGGATCCTTAGCTTAAAAATCCTTAGTATCTCCCCAACCTCTGCTCATTTGTTTTGTTTCTGAAATTCTACATATGAAAGAAATCATGTTTTTTGTCTTTCTCTGACTCATTTGGCTTAGCATAATACTCTCGAGCTTCAAACCAAGAAACAGATCTTTTCTTTAAATTTAATTTTATTTATTTTTAGAGAGAGACAGAGAGAAAGCAGAGGAAGGGCAGAGAGAGAGGGAGACAGAATCCCAAGCAGGCTCCACACTGTCAGCACAGAGCCCGATGGGGGGCTCAAACTCATGAACCATGAGATCATGACCTGAGTCGAAGTCAAGAGTCGTACATTTACCCAACTGAGCCTCCCAGGCGCCCCACCAACTTGTTTTTTCCTAAACTTTATTTATTCTGAGAGAGAGACAGCATGCATGGGCGAGGAGCAGAGAGAGAGAAAGAGGGTACTGTCAGTGCAGAGCCCATTGTGGGGCTGGAACTCAAGAATCGTGAGATCAGGACCTGATCTGAAACCAAGAGTCAGACACTTAACCAATTGAGCCACCCTGGCATCACTCTTAAACTATGGAGAACAGACTGATGGTTACTAGAGGGAAGAAGCATGGGGGGATAGGTTAAATAGGTGATGGGGAGTAAGGAGGGCACATGTGATGGGCAATGGACAGTGTATGGCACTGTTGAATCACCAAATTGTACACCTGAAACTAATATTATACTGTATGTTAACTAATTGGAATCTAAATAAAAACTTAAAAAAAACCTTAGTACTTTAAAACTGACAGTAACAAAACCTGCTCAACCATTACAGAAAAGGGAAATTAATTATTATACTGGATGTGAAACAGATCTCTGCTCCCTCTGCCCTAGAGGGAGACAATATCTCTATTTTCCAAGGATGTCTGCTATGCAAATGACCTTGAAAAGATAGGCTGGAAAAAAAAGACAGTGCTTTTGAACACAAGATATTAAAAAAGGCG